CTCAATTTAAAATATATGAAGTAATGATTATATTAATTTGGGCATTCATGCTAAGTTTCTAAGGATAAAAGTTTGCATTTACTGAGATTGCTGAATATGGATTAAGTTATTCTTTAATGTATTGTATATTCCAACAAGTATTCTGCACATATTTATTCAACAGTAATTCCCACTATGCTCAAATGAGTTTACTCTCATGAAAAGATGCATAGGAATATAGCTTTCAGATGAGTATTTAAAATTTGGAGATCACCTCTTCTTTATCTAGAAGAATATACTGCCTGCATTAACATACCAGAGTAAGTGAATGATTTTATACAGTGAAAACTAATGTTCCATAGCCTTTGAATGTAAGTTCAAAACACTTGAGTTTATCAGTGAAATCTCAGTCATGGGTTTATATCTCCCAGTCCTGTCTTCCATCCAGCTCCTCTATAATGTGAGACTAATAATATAATTTTGGATTATGAGAATTACTGTTACTATGAAGGCTTTCTTAATATTTAGGAGAAAACGCTGTGTGGTTTGATGAAAAAATTATTTACATGTTTCACAAGCTAGGCCCACTCTTCTGGACATTAATTGAAGTGAATCTGGGAACATATCAGAAGATATATCAATATTTATCATGCAGCAGGTGCCAGACTGATTAAGTAGGGCCCCTTTCATCTAGGATACGAGACTGCCAGAAGGCTCTCAAGGAATAAGACTTGTAACCTGATTGCTTTCTTTAAAAGATGGTAGTTACTGACAGAAAATGAATGCAAGTAAATATTATAGTATTGCAGCCAGAATTAATTTTGAATGTATTTCACTGGAATTAATGCAAGTTTTCAATCCCCAGGAATCACCATTAACAGATATCAGCTCATACTTAGCTGCTTAATTTATTATTATGAAAATAATAAATCCTGTAAGAAAATCCACACCCTAAAGTACATTGCTTTAAAATATGTTCAATTGACAGTGGTACTTAGGAGATGCATAACCATGGATTTAGAATTTTTAAAAAATGAGTAAGTCATTGGAATTTTGCAATCCAATAAGTACAAGTATATTCAGTGGAAATGATTCCTAAATACTCCTGCAACATTGAGAATAGAAGTAAATGTGACAGTCCTTATCTTATTATTCTGTCAAAATCCAAGATTATTTTTGTGTTGTGGGAGTAATTCAGCTTCACGTGGAAGAGAATTTCAGCTCATCCAAATACAGCTGTGGATAGAAAATGAATAAATAAACAGAAACAATTAAATGGTATGAAAAGTAGCAAATATAGTTTGCTCCAAAAGCTGCTTCTAATGAAGGGAAACATAACTGGGATGATTAAGGATTCATGGAAAATCTTTTCAGATCTACTTCTTTAGCACAGTTTATTTCAGTTTTAAAAGCTGTGATGCCTTGACTCCAAACAGATGCTAATGGATGGGGGGGGGGCAGTTAGGAGGGAAACATATTACTTTATTACAGTAAATTGTTGGGCTGTCCTATCAACCCATGTATCACCTCTGGAACAGAGAAGAGGACTTTAGAAAGTTGTTTTCTTCAGTCATTAGAAAGAAAAAGGTAACTGCCCCAGTATATGGAAGAGAGAAAAAAATGAGGGAAGTCTCGATGGATGAGTGACCCTACTTTATTGTTGATTTAACTACAGACTGCTCCAATTCCAAATGACAGTATAAACATGGATGCATAATGGATGCAGTTCTGAGTTTTAGATGAAAGGCCCTCAAATTCTGTTATATTTATAGGCTCTTCATGAAGACAAGTGATATAATATGAAACACTTAGAAAAATAAGAAATTGTTGTTTGGTGGTAGCCAAAGCAGCATTTTTCACTCTCTAGAAAGCTTCAAGAATATTATAAGAAGGGGGTAGTATAAGAAGTGATGCTTATCAATTCTGCCATCAGAAAAAGAAAAGCCCAAGGCTCTTCTGATAGTAATGGTGGGGTTCAAGTAGCATAGGTGGCAGCAGATGAAGATGAGGGTATACTGAGTGTCCCCCAAAATAAGCAATTCAATTCCACCATATCTCCACTGGTAGATCCTTGTGGGTACATTCTAGGGTTAACATGTAACTAAAGCACAAAACAGGAATTAAACTAGGGCTTCAGTCTGAAGCATTTTTCACTTCAGAGAAATTTTCAGTGGGAAACTTCTGCCTTTATTATAACGGTATGTACAAAAATACTATTATCTCACTTTCAGAAAATTGGCAACATGTGAAACGGTGTCTCTACCACTGACAAATGTATGTTTTCTTTAATAATCTTTCTTCTGGTGCCATCACTGTCAAGTACACTGGGACTTCCATACATTTCCTTTTCCTAACTCTCCCCAACAGTATGTATTGGGGAATGGATAAAAAACAAATGGATTACAGCATATTATGATCCAAGCAGGAGAATAAAAGTGTAGAGATTTTAGTACACAAATCACAGCATCAATTATGCCTCAAGAGGACCTCCATCTATTCACATTTTCATGGTTCATATTGAAAGATTGTACCATGTGACGCTATTTCATTCTTCTCTGTCACCTTTTCAACAAGCCACAGACTGTTTCCTGGAAAGTATATTTTTTACTTCTTTCTATGATAACAAACTGTCCCAATATATATACCCATCCTGCTATTGCATTTTGGGGTAAGCAACATTATGTAAAGCATAGAAAAGGAATAATAAATAGTAAGCAAAGGAAATCATGCTTGAGATTAGGAAATGAATAGGAAATATAACTCAAACTACTTTACACCAATGCCATTCACTATTCCTCTCCATACCTTTTCATCCTTGCAAACCACCCTTGTTTCCACCTTACCCATACCTTGATTTATAACACTGCATTTTGTTCTTTAAACCTTTCTCTCTTTTTAAGGGTCTTGTTAACTCCATCCAACCAAAACTTTGTCATCTTCCCCATCCGTTCATCCTTCCAGTATATGTTTGTTGTGTGATTCTTCATTCATTCTCTCTAAATGACCAAACCATCCAAAATAGTCTTTCACGTTTGTCACTCACTGTTATATTCAATTTCACTTTAATTTAGCACCATTCATGATCATATGTCTTTGTGTTTTATCATGCACGCTTCTTAACCAACTTATTCCCACTGTATTCAACTTACTTCTAGGTGTCTCTAGACATGCCCTATTTATTAATCAAAGTTATATTCTGCCTCAATCACAAGACTCTTGGTGGCTCATAAATAAACAGTAACAATATTAAAAAATAAGGCAATTAAAACCCAGACACAACACATGGCATCAGACCCAGAAAAGCTCTGTCTTCAGCTATTTCCAGAAGGCAGACAATGTTGGAGACTGCCATGTAATATATGGGGAGAAGCACACTCTTATATAGAACTATTTTCACCCTGAACAGCCATTCCTCACAACAGACCACATACTACTGGCTTCCTTACTATCAACATTTGCATCTCTTAATATTTCTCCATGAATTTGACCATCTTTAGTAAATATTCTACAAGGTATTCATGTGTTTGCTCACCATTTATGTATGCAATTGTTCACTCCATTTTCTTTGTCAGCCACAACTATCTTGGCTTTTGATACCTTAATTTTCAGATCTATACACCTCATCCGTACTGCAATCATTTGGATTTGCAACATCATCTGCATACAACATACCCATGCATTCACACCCCCAACCACCACATCTTTAATGTCTCCCAAAAATTCCTTATACATTTCTCCAGAAATATTTTAAATCTCTCAAACATATTCTGGTAGATAAAAAATGCTAAATATGCACTAATCACATTATCTAATATAATATAAAAGATACTCAGAGTAAGTTCTAATGAGCAGTTAACATATTGTAATATATGTAATGAGCCTAGAAAGCCTAGCTTTGTGATTGTTACTCTTTCTTTTCTTTTCAAGTCACACTTGAATTGCATACCTATAAAAAGCATAAATTGTCATTTGCCTTTACTAACTGTCCTGAACTAAGTATTGATAATAGATCCAGAAATAAGCAATTACTGTCAATAATGCATGATAGCAACTAACTTTAAAAAAATAATGGGCCACCATACTAAATCATAGTGAATTTAACATTGTTTATTACCTAGAAATGCTTCCCTTTGAGAAATGGAATATAAATATTAAATATATTAATAAATGTGTTTATAATATTCACAGTTCTTATTTGAGCCAGTATATCTATAAGTACTGGATGAAAAGGGGGAGATTCAGGTTCTCAACCTCTTCCTGCATGTCTCTGGATGCTCTGGGAGAGGGACATTTGGCCATGATTCTACAAAACTGTTATTATGAGTACAGTACTCTCTTATTTGCCTCATTTAGCTAACTCCAGAAATACAAATAACTCCTGTCAATACAACTTTTTTGTGCACATGCTTAATGTCTATATAGCCCTGGTATTTCCATGTTCAAAGCACAATGTAGTGCTTCTTCCACAGATAAAAGCCACAGTAGACATCTTTATATTTCCAGTTATATCCAAGCCTTCCATTATTGACATGTTCCCTGGGACTTTAGGTGTATAGCTGAGAATCTTCTATGTCACTCACATGAGGCAAGGGGCCCATACAGAGAACCAGATCTCTCATCCTAGGTTAGCTTTGGTGGCAAAAGCACAGAGGCTTCTTCCCCCTTGGGCACTTTTGTGTGAGCAGGTATGAACTGATTCCAACAAGGAGATGCTAATATACAAATCTCAGACTTTATGCTCATTGTTCCCCGACAGACAACCAGGGAATCGGCCGTCTCCTTGTTCCCCTTCCAGGCTCCATTAAAAGGTAACGTCCACTTTTCGTACAAACTAGTTTTTATCCCCGCCAAAGTTGGTCCCTTGGGAGGGAGAGCTGCGGCCGAAGGCCTCCCTCACGGTGTCTGGCCTCCAGTGACCCCGGCGCTTCTTTTGCTTGCTCCTGTCAGGGACTTTCCGAGAATCCCGCCCCAGGTCCTTCCTTCCTGCGCCTCCCCGTTCTCGCCCCTGAGGCCTGACTCACCGTCCTCGTAGTTCTTGAGGTAGTAGTCTGGTCCCGGTCCACCACGGCTCTTGGCCAGGTTCTTCACGTTCTGGAACTGCAAAAAGTCGGTCCTTTTGCCCGCGAAGCGGAGAAAGGCGGGTGCCAGGCCACGCGCCAAGGTCACTAAGCGCCGGGAGCTGCACAGAAAGGGGCTGAGTGAGCGAGGACGAAAAGGAGGGAGTGAGGCAGCACGACGGCGGTGGCCCGACCAGCCAAGCCGGGCTGGGCGCGGCGCCATCGTGGCTCCGGTGCCCGTCAAGCAACGGCTCGCCAGGCCGGAAGCTATCAGCGCAGCTCCGGGAGAGGCCCCAAAAGCAGAGTACACTGACTTGAATTCCCGCACCAGCTGCCGGAGGAAAGCGCCGGAGAGGCAGGCATCCCTTCTCCAGAGATTGCCACAGGGACAGTGGCGGGCCTCCCACACCAGAGGGCACCCAGGAAAG